ATATATACACACACATACACATATATATATATATATATATATACACATATATATATATATATATATATATATATATATATATATATATATATATATATATATATATATATATATATATATATATATATATATATATATATATATATATATATATATATATATATATATATATATATATATATATATATATGTGTGTGTGTGTGTGTGTGTGTATGTGTATTTATATATATATTATTGTGTAACACAATAATATTTTTTTGCTGGCAGTAAAAAAAATTAAAAAAATAATATTAATGTAGTTGACTATAATATTATTGTACTGTGGTAAACAGTAATATTATCATAATGTGGTAGATAATAATATCACTGTGTTGACCAGTCAACGGCAAAAGAAAAGTTTCAAATTAAAACAAAAAAACAAAGATCAGGAGATTGGCATTGACCGATGATCGACATTTGCAAAAAGAAAAAAAAAAAAAAAAAAAAAAGTTAATGCCGGAGACAAGCATTGATTGCCGGTCACTAAGAAAAAGAAACATTTAAAAAAAAGGTCAAAATCGAATTTAGGGGTCAAAATTGGTGAAACTAAAGTTAAATTACAATGTTAAAATATGAATTTTATAGTTACCTTTGTAATGTATATTGAACGAGTGGACTTATTTACGAAAAACAAAATGAAACCTAAATTAATAAAGGTAAGTGGTCAATTATTTTCTCATAAAACACCTTCAAATTAATAAATCTCTTGAATCCAGTTTTATTATTTACATACATCACGACAGTTTCATATTCTTTTTCAACTTACACAATAGAAATGAATTTTAGATAGGGCCTTCACTGTCATTAGTTTAATAACTTAATCATTGAACATTATTGCATAAGCTTATCCACACGTTAAAATATTTCATTTTTAAAGAACAAAGAAGTATGTAAATTATGACAACAATACCAAGAAATGTACAACATCTCTTTCGCAACTTTACGGCTGCTTCGACCCTATATCCGGTGATAAACATTGGGTGTGTCTTCTACTGCCACGTACTAAAATCCTTACATGTTAACTATAGTGAGGAATATATTATAAAATACAAAAAATGACACGTGACAACAGAAAACCTGTCCGATGTTTATCACCGGGTGTGGGGTTGAAGAAGTCCAACTTCATATAGAGATCATAACTACTACACTTGGTGAATATTACATCTAATAGAGTTTTATCTTTGATCTGCACACAATAAATTGAGTGAGTATGTGTTTGTGTGTTTATAAATGATAAAAATGTACTCATTGTATTTCACATAATGTAGTATAATATAAATCGCTAAGTACATCGTCTATTTGTACCTTTAGTCATTACTTTCCTTGAGTGCTCACCTTCTAAAAAAAGTAATAATTAATTAATTAGAAAAGAGTGTCGTTTGATAACGCTCCTTCGGCCCTCCATCCCACTGCGCAACACCACATCTATTCTCTCTTCTTGGATGGATGGACTTTCAGAAAACTTGGCAAAGGGTCTACTGCTCACAAACGAAGAAGAAGAGGGAATTACCGTGACGGTCCCTCCAGTGGAGACTAGGGTTGTTGATAAGGGATTCCAACTAGTTGGACGAGTAGTTTGCCAGAGAGAAATCTCAGCCCACTCCATTAAATCAAACGTGCTTCGACTTCTTCAACCAGTCAAGGCTTGCGAGATTGATACGCTAGGCCCGAACCGCTTTATTATTCGATTCCAACATCGGTTGGATTATCTTCACGCTCGCTCTGGGTGCCCGTGGCTGGTGGATAAGAACGCTTTGCTCTTCCAAGATCTAGATGCGGATAACGACCCAACCTCGTTGGATATCAACATGATGGACATTGTATTACGAATCCACAACCTACATCTCTCTATGCGTACCGAATACATTGTAACCCAAATTTGCAGCAAGATCGGAGAACTTGTGGAGATAATAAAGCCCAAACCAGCGGCTTATGTGCCATATATGAGGGTCAAAATCAGGATTGATGTTACAAAAAGTTTGAAACGGGGAATGAATCTGCATAACCCAGATGGGACAAAAAATTGGGCCGCGTTTTCTTACGAACGCTTACCTAATTTTTGTTTTCTGTGTGGAGTTGTTGGGCATGGGGAAAACCGTTGTCCTGCTCGGTACGATGAAGATTTTGCTGATCCAGGTGACAATCTACCATACGGCGTTTGGATGAGGGCTACTGGTCCTCCTGATGGAATGGCTGGGAGGCGGCCGCTGCATCTTGTGAACCGGGTTGAAGCAATGAGTGCTGGTACCAGTCCCCGAATGCCACTTAGGGGTGCTAGCATCTTCGGTATATCCTCCCCAATGGAATTATTTCCTCATACCAGCGTTGCATGTGCAAATAAAGAGAACCTTTCAACACCTATTTGTGATGAGTCTGATCTGGTTACTCATACCATTCAATTCCAGGCGGGGAGTAGCTCGGACACTTCTACGAGGAAGCTAGTTAAGGTCTCAAATAGGAGCAAGAAGAAGAAGGCGGCTGAGTCGGGGATTGAGGACAGAGCGGTTACTGGGAAAAAACAGATGTTGGTTTTAAGGGATGAAGAGTCTAATCTAACGGCGGAGACTGCGATGCAGTCCCGCCGAGCGCAATGAGTTGTATTTTTTGGAATTGTCGAGGGCTCGGGGCGCCCTTGACAATTTATGTGCTCGGAGATATTCTTCGAGCTCATCGGCCCCGACTGTTGTTTCTCTCGGAAACGAGGGCGACAACTGTACTTATAGAGAGACTAAAAATTAAATGGAATCTCAATGGCATCGGAGTGGATCGAGTGGGTTATTCAGGAGGTCTAGCACCTTTTTGGCAGAAAGATGTCGAGGTAGATCTTATCAGTTTCTCTAATAACCACATTGACGTTGAGGTTTATGACACGAACAATAGTGGACGATGGCGAATGACCGGTTTCTATGGATTTCCCGATCACGAACGGAGACATTTATCTTGGACCCTTCTTCGAAACATTCGCGACAATCGCGATCTCCCATGGATGGTGGGCGGAGACTTCAATGAAATTCTCAGCAACGAGGAGAAGCAAGGAGGTTTACAACGTAATCCAGCTCGAATCGAAGCATTTCGTGATGCATTGGACTCTTGCGGTCTTACAGATTTGGGTTATGAAGGGCAACCCTTTACGTGGACTAATAGCAGAGAGACTCCCTATACAGTTAGATGCAGACTTGACAGGTGTTGTGCAAGTAATACATGGATTGAATACTTCCCAGCAGCCCGAGTTCATCACCTACTATACTCGGGCTCGGACCATTGCCCTGTACAATTAATTTTCAGCGCCCCGTCCAGTAACACCACCTTGGGTAAGAAGAGACCTTTTCGCTTTGATGCAACTTGGCTTAGGAGAGAAGAGTGTGAACAAATCGTCGAACAACACTGGCGGTCGGAGGGCTCTACCGATCCAATCGAGAAGCTTATTACTAATAACCGCGAATGTCGGTTGGCATTAATAAACTGGAGCAGAACATCGGTAAGGCAGCCTAGAAAGGTGATTGATGGGCTTCATAAAAAACTCCATTGGTTACTCTCGGTGGATCAAACAGATGCTACACGGGAAGAGATTAGGATTCTTAGGGCAAAGTTGGAACGGGCATATGAGGATAATGATCTTTATTGGCGCCAACGGAGTAGAGTTCAATGGATTCGAGAAGGAGACCGCAATACGAGATTCTTCCACTCTAAGGCCACTATCAGGAACCGCACAAACAAGGTTGATAAATTGAAGAATTCAGCGGGTGTCTGGATGGAGAAAAATGAAGACATAGAAAATATTATCTCCAATTATTTTGAGCATATTTTCAAGACCACGAACCCGAGCGAAGAAGAGATAGATGAGGTGTTAGATTGCATTGAGACGCGAGTGGCCGAGGGGGCGGATCAACTTCTTTCCACTCCTTTTACTCCAGATGAGGTAACCCGAGCCATTTCTCAAATGGCTCCTCTCAAATCCCCGGGCCCGGACGGGTTACCTGTCATATTCTTTACCAAATATTGGCATCTATTAGGGTCCGATGTGCTTTCTTGTGTCCTTGAATTTTTGAACAATCATAGACTTCCTGCTGCTCTGAATTCTACTTTCATTGTGTTAATCCCAAAAATTAAAAATCCCGAAAAAATCACCGATTACAGACCCATTAGCCTCTGCAATGTCATATATAAATTTGGGTCTAAGGTGTTAGCTAATCGTTTAAAGTTAGTTCTCAATGACTTAATCTCCCCAACTCAATCTGCTTTCGTACCCAAACGATTAATTTCGGATAATGTTCTTGTGGCCTTTGAGATTAACCACTTCATTAAATTGAACTCTAGCAGGAAAACTGATTACATGGGCATTAAACTAGATATTAGCAAGGCGTACGATCGGATAGAATGGCTCTTTCTGAGAAAAATTCTTCTTCGTTTTGGCATTCCTCCTGATTTTGTTGAGCTTATTATGATGTGTGTTTCCTCTGTGTCTTTCTCATTTCTTTTTAATGGCATGCAGTTTGGCCAGGTAGTTCCCTCGAGAGGTCTACGACAAGGGGATCCACTATCCCCGTACTTATTTATTTGTTGCGCCGAGGCTCTTATGGCAATGATTTCCAGGGCTACAACTAGAGGTGAATTTCACGGGATTCAGGTCGCCTCAAATGCTCCGGTGGTATCTTGTTTATGTTTTGCCGATGACACCCTGGTATTTGGCAAAGCCACTGAGGAGCACGCATTGGTGCTGAAAAATATTTTGGAGAAGTATGCTCGAGCTTCCGGGCAGGAGATCAATCAAGAGAAAACTACTGTCATGTTCAGCCCGAAAATTCCCCTTGCGAAGCGAGAAGCTATTTGCCATATTTTGGGATTTCAAGTAGTAGAGCAACATGGAAAGTATTTAGGGATGCCGACGGCTATTGGGAAATCCAAAAAGGAGCTCTTCACCTATCTGAGGGATAGGATTTGGTCCAAGATTAAAGGGTGGGGGGAGAGGCAACTATCGAGAGCCGGGAAAGAGGTCATGATCAAAGCGGTTCTACAAGCTATCCCGTCGTATGTAATGGGGTGTTTCCTATTGCCTGAGGGTATTTTAAATGACGTGGAGGCAGCAATTCGACGTTTTTGGTGGGGTCATAATGGAAATCGGGGGATGGCGTGGCTTCCTTGGAGAGAATTATGCAAATCGAAGGGGATGGGGGGCCTCGGATTTAGGGATCTTAGAGCTTTCAATTTGGCGATGGTGACGAAACAAGCATGGCGGATTTTCACCAACCCAGACCTTCTGCTTTCAAAAATATTGATGGCAAAGTATTTCCCGAGAGGTCATCTATTCAGTGCTGACATTGGACTCCGACCCTCGTCGACATGGAGAAGCATCTGGAAAACTATTCCTTTTTTAAAAATGGGTCTTTGCCGTAGAATTGGAAACGGAAGGGACTCATCGCTATGGGCTGACCCATGGCTTCGTGATGGAGGCTCTCGTCGAATATTCACTAAACGTCCAGCCTCTACGATATTTCCCGATCGCGTGTCTGATATTATAAATGTGAGCTCGAGCACTTGGAATATGGATCTTATTAATGAAGTTTTTTGGCCAGTGGACATTGATAGAATTCTTGCGGTGCCGATAGGCAGGGGTTTCGCCGAGGATGTGTGGACTTGGTATTTTTCTAAGAATGGTAATTTCTCAGTCAGATCTTGCTACTATATGATTCTTGACCACCTGAGAGAGCAGGAGACACGAAGAAGTGGAGGGGAAGGGTCCAACAGTGGCGGTAATGAAAGAGATTGGAGTGCTATTTGGCAACTGGAGCTTCCCCCAAAGATTAAATCTTTTCTTTGGCGAATGTGTAGCAATATTGTCCCGACAAATGCCGAATTATTTAGGAGGCGGATCAGGCCATCTCCAATATGTAGTCGGTGTAATACCGAAGAAGAATCTATTTTACACGTGATCCTTCTTTGCCAAGGTATGAATGGGGTTTGGAGTTCCCCGCCATTCGAAAAAATTCAACGAGGGGATACATCGTCGACATGGGGATGGTTCTGTGATGCGAAACGTTTGCTTGGAGAAAAGGAGTTCTTATTGGCAATGGTGGTGGCGTGGAAATCTTGGGACAGAAGAAATAAGGAGGCCATCGGAGAAAAAGTTTTGTGTGCGTCGGATGTTATACGTTGGTGTAAAGAATACATGACTATGTTTGAGGATGCTCAGATCCGGGCAAGGGCTACAGCACAAACTTGTCACCCGAGTGTCTGGAATCCACCAGAGGAAGGGATTATTAAAGTGAACTTCGATGCAGCTTTACCCCGTGAGCATCAAGGGATTTCGGTGGCAGCGGTAGCAAGGGATGCTAGCGGGTGTAGCGTTGGATGGCAGGTGCTCAAAATACGAGGACACTTTCAACCGGCGGAAGGAGAAGCATTGGCGGCTCTCACTGCTATCTCTTTTGCTAAAACGAAGGGCTGGACCAACATTGAACTCGAAGGAGATTGTCTTCAAATAATCAAAGCACTCCGAGACGGTGATAACGAAATGGCAACTTTTGGGGCCATTGTCAATGATTGTAAGAGAATAGCTCTCGATTTTCATCAAGTTTCGTTTAAGTTTGTTAAGCGTACGGGAAACAAATTAGCCCATGCCCTTGCTCAATATCCTTGTAATAATGTTCTGGAAGGTTTTGTTCTTCCACCTAATTTGACTGATATAGTCTGAATAAAGTTCTTATTCCCATCAAAAAAAAAAAAAAAAAAAAAAAAACTCAAACTTTATACATTGAATTTGGTGGGTCACACTGAAATTACAATACCATGTTGAATAAAATGATAATTGGTTTGTTTGAAAAATACACACTAATAAAGTCATCAATATGATTGATTTTAGGAATTATAATAAAAACTAAAAAAAAAAATCAAATGAAAAAAAAGTGATAAGAAGTAGGGTAAATTTGGAAACAATGTAATTGACATATCACTAAAATTCTAAAGCTTCATTGGTTATTATCATTACTTTAGTTTTATGTTTATTTTTTTTAGTATATTTGTTTTTTAGGTAATCAACAATATGGATAAATATTTGATTAAAAAGTAGATATTCGAAACTAAAAACAACACATAGACTAGAGTCGACTACCGAAAACTTGTGGCAGTGTCGATTCCATCATGCACAACTCATATAATATAATTGAACTGATTCAAGTTTGGTTAGAAAGTCTACTACTACAAGTATTATATAGTGAGTTTTCTCATATTCGTATTGCAAGAAAGTCAAAATTTGGTCTAAAGTCAACTCATCGTGCATGATGCAGTTCAAAAATATCATGTCGTGACAGGTTATTCTTATGCTACACTCGGTGAAAACTACATCGAGTGATTTTTTTACCGTTGGATACCCACACCAATGTTGATGTGTATGTGTTTGTGCGTATATATATGGTAAAGATCTATTCGATGTATTTCACCCGATGTAGCATAGAGTAGACCGTCGTGACATGACACACTAAAAACATGTAATAATATGGATTACTTTTTATCATGCCCCATCATTTTTTTTTTGAGAGAGAGAGAGGGGAAACCCCTAAGAATTAACAACATTTGGTTGTTGTTCTTGTGAATCACT